TCCCGAGGGAGACTGACTCCTCCCTCCCTCCCTGACTCCCTCAGGCCTGTTGCAGGGACTTCCCCCGTGACCTTACCCCCTCCTTCTCCTTGCCTCCTCCCTGCTCCTTCCCTCTCTCTTTCTCTCCTCTCTCTCTTCTCTCTCTCCTCTCTCTCCTCTCTCTCTCTCTCTCGTTCTATGTATTCTCTCTCTCTCTCTCTCTCTCTCTCGTTCTCTCTCTGTCTTCTCTCTCTCTCTCTCTCTCTCTCTCTCTCTCTCTCTCTCTCTCTCTCTCTCTCTCTCTCTCTCTCTCTCTCTCTCTCTCTCTCTCTCTCTCTCTCTCTCTCTCTCTCTTGCTCTCTCCTCTCTCTCTCTCTCTCTCTCTCTCTCTCTCTCTCTCTCTCTCTCTCTCTCTCTCTCTCTCTCTCTCTCTCTCTCTCTCTCTCTCTCTCTCTGTCTCTCTCTCTCTCCTCTCTATTTCTTTCCATTCATCTTTTCTCTCTCTTTCTCTCTCTCATCCATGTATTAATTCATCTATCCATCCATCCATTCATCCATCCATAGATTCCATTCATCTCTCTCTATTTATCTATTTTATCTATCTATGTATTTGTCCATCTATCTACTTGTTTATCTACCAATCTATTTATCTGTGAATTAATTTATTTATCCATTCAACCATCTCCCCCCTTCTCTCTCTCTCTCTCTCTCTCTCTCTCTCTCTCTCTCTCTCTCTCTCGCTATCTCCTCTCGCCTCTCCTTCTCACGTCCTCCTCTCTCGTCTTCCTCTCTCCTCATCTCCTTTCTTCAATCCTCTCTCTCTCGGTCTTTACTCTTCCTCTTTCACTTATCACTCTCGTCTTTCCCTTTCCACTTCTCGGTCCCGCTACTCCTCTCCCCCTCCATACTCTCACTCCTCTCCCTCTCGTCTCTCTCTCTCTCTTCCCCTTCTCTTTCTCCTCTTCTCCCTCCTCTCCTCTCTCTCTCATTCTCCTGCTCCTTCTGGGCTCTCCTCGCTCCCCTCTCATCTCCGTCCTCTCCTCATCCCTCTTATCGTTCTCTTTACTCTCTCCCCCCTCGTTACTCTCCGCCCCTCTTTAACTCTCTCCTCCCTCTCCTCTCTCTCTCATCCTCTCCTCCTCCTCCCCCCTCTTCTCTCTGCTCTCTCTCTCTACTCCCTCGTCATTTCCCTCTCTCCTCTGTCGCGAATGGTCTCTCCCTCTTTCTCCTTCTCTCCGCTCTTTCTGCCATTCTCTCCTACTCTCTAAATCAAATCATTCATCTCGTCTTCACTCTCCCTCCTCTTCTTCCGCTTGCCATCCTGCTCTTTCCCCTCTTCTTCCATCCTCTCACTTCTCCTTCATTTTCCCTCATCGCTGTTCTCCCCTATCCCTCTCATCCCCCAGTTCCTCCCTCCTTCATACTCATCCTCATCACCACAAACAAGTCAACCTATCCACTCACTTTCACTATCATTAATTATTCATATTACCGGTCACTATCTGCCGCGCCGTAACTACTCTAGTCAATTCACTATAATCATCAAAATATCACCTCAACCATAACTAACCTCTCACTACATTAACTTATCAATGTCACGCAATAACCACAGCTCACTATCACCTCACCATAACCTCTCTCAAACCAATCATTCACTATCACTCACCACAACCACTCTCACTATTATCATAATCATCACTATCACTCACCATAACCACTCTCACTATCATTAACTATCACTCACCATAACCACTTAAACTTTCATTCACTAATCACTTAAACCACATAACTATACTCTCCACTTTTCATTCACTAATCAACTACTCACAGCATAACACTCTCACCATATTTCACTATCACTCACCATAACCACTCTCACTTTCATTCACTATCACTCACCATAACTACTCTCACTATCATTCAACATTCTCTAACCAATAAAATTCACTCTTCACTTACCCACAATCATCAACTAATCACATCATCCATAACCACTCATCACTTTTTCAAATTCACTATCACTACTCACCAAACCACTCACTTTCATTCACTCTCACATAACACTCTCACCATCATTTTCACTCATTCACTCACCCATACCATCACTATCACTCACCATCACAACTTCCACGGAGGCGCGGCCTTCAACCATCGCAGGACGAACGAAGTTTATTGTCCGCACTTTCAACTGGGCCGGATCCTTGGCGTGCCCGAGTTGAGGGAAGTAGTTTTCGCGTTACTCGAGACTTCTCTTTTCTGTTTTTCGTTATCTGGCATTAATTAACTTTGGGTTGTTGTTGTAGTTGTAGTAGTTTGTTGGTAGTTGGTAGTTGTTGTAGTTGTAGTTGTTGCTGTTTTGTTGTTGTAGTTGTTTGGTAGTTAGTTGTAGTTGTTGTTGGTAGTTGTAGTTGTTTTTGCTGTTTGTTGTTTGGTAGTTGTTTGTTTGTAGTAGTTGTTGTAGTTGTAGTAGTAAGTAGTAAGTTTTGTTGTAGTTGTATGGTTGCTTTGTAGTTGTAGTTGTTGATTGCTGTTTTGTTTAGTTTGTAGTTGTTGTAGTAGTTGTAGTTGTTTGTTGTAGTTTGTTGCTTTGTTGTTTGTAGGTTTGTTGTTGTAGTGAGTTGGTTGTTGTAGTTGTAGTAGTAGTATAGTCTGGTTCGTAGGGTTTTGTAGGTTGTTGGGTAGTCAGTTGTAAGTTGTAGTTGTTTGTTGTAAGTTTGTAGTTGGTTGCTGTTTTTGTTGTTTGTAGTTGGTTTGTTGTAGTAGGTTGTTGCTAGTTGTAGTAGTAGTAGTAGGTTGTTGTTGTAGTTGTAGTAGTAAGTTAAGTTGTAAGTTGTAGAAAGTATAGTAAAAGTAGTAGTAGTAGAAGTAGTAGTAGTTGTAGAAGTTGTGGTAGTAGTTTGGGTTGGTACGTTGTAGGTAATAGTAGTGAGTTGTTGTAGGTAGTAGTGTGAGTAGTAGTAGTAGTTTGCAGAAGTAGTGGTAGTAGTTTTGTTGTTGTAATATATAATAATTTAGGGTTGCCGTGAGTCTCAATGTGACTTCAGTGAAAATCGTCGGCCCTGTTCATTGTGCCTTCTAAACTACCGGGGGAATTGAAGCGCCCGGGCCAGAAAGATGTGCTAGACTAGTACGCTAACGACGCATCACAAGAACTGCAGGTGAGCAGTAGTAGTAAGTGAATTGTTTGTTGTTGTTGTTTAGTTGTTTTGTGGCGTGGTGGTGGTAGTAAGTAGTAGTAGTGTTGTACTTATGGTTGTTTTGTAGTGGTGGTGGTGGTGTGTTGTTGTGTTGTACCTGTAGTTGTTTTGTAGTAGCAGTAGTAATAGCAGATGTAGCAGCAGGAGGAGGAGGAGGAACATTGTCATTTTCCGTAACTAGTGCAACGCTATTGGTCACCATTATGGTCCATCATTATTATGCACCGTTAGCATCATCATCGTTTATTATTATAATTATTATTATTATTACAGTTCTAAATCATTCTATTTTACCGCCATTAAACAAGTGTTCGTATTGATATACTTTCGTGAATCCCACCCGCGTGATTGAGTTATATTTCGTAACATAATTAATACCACGATCACATTTTCTGCCTGACTCCCCACTGTAATAATTTCCGCCTGGGGGAGATCGGGTGGATTTGTCGCAATTGACAATGATTTCCGCCAATAGGGGGGGAAGTTACATGTCACGATGATAATTTCCGCCAATAGGAAGACGGCTTGCATTCTCAATGGACTTCTCCACCAATAGAGACAAAGGTTACATACTGCTTCTGTGTCCTGGTGATAATTTCCACCAATAGGAAGACGGCTTGCATTCTCAATGGACTTCTCACACCAATAGAGACGAAGGTTACATACTGCCTCTGTGTCCTGGTGATAATTTCCACCAATAGGAAGGCTGTTTGCATTCTCAGTATGTTAGGCTTCGACTCTCCACCAATAGAAAGGAAGGTTACATACTATGCATGAATCCTGATCATAATTTCAGCCAATAGGGAGACAGCTTGCATTTCCACACCAACTGTCTACTAAATCTCTGCACCAATAGAAAAAGGGCAAAATACACGTGTCCTGTTCAAAATTCCCGCCAACAGGTTAAATCTTTATTGCATTTAGCTATAGACCCTATACACTATTTTTATCAAAACTACAAGAACAATAAGACCTCCAAACCGATAAAAAGAAAAATGACATACATTTATCCTAACGACACTTCCCGCCAAAAGGAATTAAAGTTATTTCCCCCATGAAGACGGTTACACGAACTCTCGACCAATAGGACGCAAGATCACATACCATAATCTGCCCTAATGATACTTTTCCGCCATGGAAAACTATGCTTTATATTCACTGAACTGCCCTATCTGCGGCCCTAAACCCAAATGAAAAAAAAAAGGTTATATGAACTATATGTATTTTTTCCTGGGTGAATGATTAAATACTGGACTACGTGCAGCATTTGAAAAATTTAAATGCTAGACTTCATGCATTTAGAATTAAATGCTAGACTATTTGCAACCTTTTATATTTTACCAATGGGAACTATTACATGTTAGACTACGTACATTAAAAATTGTACCAATAGGGCGAATTATTAAATGCTAGACTAAATGCATTTAAAAATTGTATCCAATAGAACACCCATTAAATGCTCCTTATTAGGTACATTTTTTAAATTGTACGCAATAGGTGGAACAATTTAAGATGGCCCTAGAACTACATGCATTTAAAATTGTACACTAATAGGATGACCAACTTAAATGCTACTTTACTAGTAAAATTTTAAAATTGGTACCTAATAGGTGGAAACAATTAAAATTGCTAGAAACCTACATGCATTTAAAATTGTACCAATAGGATGACCCATTATAAATGCTACTTACTAGTAAATTTTTTAAATTGTACCAGTTAATGAAGAACGGTTAAATACTAGACTAGATACATTTATAAACTGTACCAACAGGAAGAACGATTAAATGCAAAAACTACATACATTTAAAATTGTACGCAGTAAGG